ATTTGAAAAGTTTTCACTTTGACAAAAACGCTGTGCAATATAAAATGAATGATTTTTAAGTTTATTTTAAAGCCGTTACGTACATTTTTGACCGAAGTTTAATTTACAAATATCAATTTTTATTGCATACACTTTTATTTGATTGAGTGCGATCTATAAAACTACAACAATAATGGATTCTAATCCATCAAAAATGGATTTTAATCCTAGTATTTTTATATCAATATAATTCAGCATAATCGATTATAATTAATTGCAATTTTTTTTCAAAGTTATCTTACGTCCTGGTTCGTGCAGTTGCTACGTGTTACGTTTCATAATTTTTTTTCACCTACCATTTTAATTATTCAAGTTTTCTCTACTTATTCTATTCTTTACGTAATTTCCATAACCTCTTTTAACAACCCCCTTCCCTAGTTTACCCCCCCCCCCACACACACACACACACAATTTACTCCTCGTTAGTTTACCTCTCCCCCAACCGCCCGTACCCCCACCCAGCAGCTTACCTCTCCTCGGTTTACTCCCCCTCCCCCCTACCTATATTAGTTTAAGCCCCCCGTTTACTGAACGTGGGCGGGTAAAAAAAATGGGGAGTGGGACAAAAATCTTAGGCGAGGGGGGTAAACTGTAGCTGTGGGTAGTGGGTAGGTGGTAAACTCAAGTAAACATCGGGGTTGGCGTAGGGATAAACGTAGGGGAGTGGTTTATGTGCGTGAGGCGTGAGGGGAGAGTGGGGAAAAGTGGATGGGGGAAAAGCGAGGAGGGGGGAGGGGTTAATTAGAGTATGTTTAGATTGCAAGTAGGCCGTGAGTGACGCAGAATTGTTGCAAGTTTTGCAAATTATATTGCAAAAAGTGTGATGATTATAATCCGTTATAATCAATTATAATGGATTTTAATTGGATTATAATCCATTATAATGGATTTTCATGGATTGCATTTTTACAAAACAAAATCATTTATAATGACAATAAAATTGATTTCGTGGTCCAAATTTGCTACAATAATGGATTATAATAACAACATTTTAGACAACAGTTTTCCATTATAATCGATTGTTAGCCATGGAACTCCGCAGCTTTTAAAACTCCATGCAGCGATGATTTGGGTTCCTTTATCTTTGTAAGATTTCCTCAGTGCAGGAGCGATTGTTCTCAACATGATTGGTGCTCCAGTTTCTTGGAAGTTTGCATTGTGTAATTTTTTGGTAAACTGCGCTTCAGCATTGAGCTTAGGCCCGATGAGTTCAAACCGCTTATCCAAACCTCATCAGTTTTTTGGTGGTATTTTTTATTTCTGTGGCTGAAATTTTGATAAAAACTACAACTACTTTTCAATAGAACAAGACTGCTCGTATCAAGGCGAAGTCCTGAATGTTCCGACTGCCTTTTAAGGTTTATGGAGCAGCAGTAATAACATAAAAAAATTAAATGAAATAATATAAAATGAAAATTTTTTTCTAAATTTTGAATTTTTTTTTGAAACTCATCCCCCCACACGCCATATAAAGTATAAAAAGATAGATTTCGTTCCTTGTAACAAATCAATTATGGCAAATAAGCTTCGTTCAACCAATTTGGAACGATTTAAAAGACGGATTAAATCTCCGCTTACGCGTTAATAGCGCGAATTATATCGCGCGCTAATTGTCCCAAATTGGTCAAAATAGCCGAAATGGCAGTCTTTAAACCCCCGTAACTTTACGAAAAATGATCACAGGTGAAATATCTTTTCAAATTTGAGCTCAGGACAACAATACCTTTCGAATGATATAAAAAATTCCGTCAAAAATGGCTAGTTAAAAAGTCGAAATTTGTCTGAAGAAAAAAAAACCCACCCCGAGCACAAATATTTCGTTACTTTCGTTACTTTTTCTTCAGACAAATTTCGACTTTTTAACTAGCCATTTTTGACGGAATTTTTTTATATCATTCGAAAGGTATTGTTGTCCTGAGCTCAAATTTGAAAAGATATTTCACCTGCGATTATTTCTTGTGAAGTTATGTGGGTTTGAAATTTGAGTTTTTTAAATAAAAATCATCCCCCCAAACACCATATAAACTGCAAAAGAATAAATTTTGATTCTTGTAACAAATCAATTATGGCAAATAAGCTTCTTTCAATCAATTTCAAACAATTTCTAAGAGGGATTAAATCTCCGCTTACTCGTTAATAGCCCACATTGGCCAAATTGGCACTCTTTAATTCCCCCTAATTTTACGACAAACAATCACAAGTAAAATTTCAAATTCAAGCTCAGGACATCAAAACTTTTTGAATGATATAAAAAACTATCGTCAAAAATGGCTACATAAAAAAAGCCGAAATTTGTCTGAAGAAAAAAAAACCCAACCAGAGCACAAATATTCCGTTACTTTTGTATCGAAAATCGGAACAATTAATTAATTAAGTGACGCAAACTCCAGAGGGATCATTCACAAATGTCAAAAACAAAATGAGCATAGCCCGTTTAAACTTGACGAAGGGCACAAATTTCTACGAATGCCCATTTGACATTGTAAAAACTGCATATTTTGGTTGTCGGACAAAAAAACATCCATTAACAATTCTTTGTCCACCCAATATTTCCTTGTCACGTTTTGTAGGACTGCGTACTTTTTTCACTATAAAAATTTGTTTAACCAGCAAGTTTTGCATATTTGTTTACATCAAAGCAATCGATTTGAAGATGAACAAATTATGTATATTTAGAGCCAAATTTTTTTTGGAAAATGCACCCTATTAGACTGCAAAAATCTACCCATAATTTGTTGTCATCACTTTTTATTTCACGATTAATCTATTTTGAGAAATTGTAATTTTTTTCTGTATCGAGTAATATCGAAAACCAGAGCACTTTATTTTTTTTGCGAGAAACGGAACAAAATAACACCATGCTAAGTAATCTCTTTTCTTACTTACGGATATTAATTCAAGGTCATATGCAAATTTGCAAGTTTATGGACATTTAGCTAGACCAGAGCAATTGCTGATCATGTAAAAGCCGCGACGAAAAGAAGACGTACTAACGGTTCCCGAGTAAAAAAAAACTTCTTGGAGCGAGGACAAAACCGTTGTCACAAAAATGTTGTAGAAATTTGAATAAATCAAACTAAAATCTAAAATTGGCAAAATCTGTTTGCGCTGGCCGGGCTGCTACATGACGAATCGCAATATGATGAAACTAGATTATAGAAACGTTTTATATAAAACTGCTACCCTGACTCAATACAATTTGGAACGGTTTCTGAGCCCAATTAAACACCCGCTAACCCGTTTATAGTACGTAATATATTAAATGTTAATTATTCCAGTTTAATCATACTGGCTGTTTTCAAATCCTCATAAATTTGCAAAATGATCACAAAAAATATCTTTTTGAGTAGTAGCTCAGATTATCAATATCTTTCAGAAGATTTATACAAAAATCCGTTATATAAAATTCCTGTCTAAAATGGCTCCTTAAAACGTTGAAAATTGTTCGGAGAGAAGAAAACCACCTCAAGTACAAATATTCTATCATTTTCCTCAAAAGTTGCATTAATAAGTTGACAGCATCTTGACTAAAACTTATAATCCACATTGTTGCAAAAAAAAGTTTAGTAAGTCATAGAAAAATGAAGTTTTTTTTTGTATTTAAAAAAATGTTTTGCTACAAAAATGCATGATTAACACGGATTCAAAACAGCAAAACTGTGTCCCCACAGTCCTCACGCTCAAAAAGAAAACAAATTGTGTTCATAACGGACTGAACTATTATTTGAGATTCCCACCCACGCAAACAATCACTCAATTTACCAGCTAATCAAACCGGGTTTTTCAGTCTCTACAGTAAGAATGCTTTTTTAAATCCGAACGGTCCAATAAAATACTCTCAGTGTCCCCATGGGTCAAACCGGATGAGTTCGGTCTCCTCGGCTTGAACATAGAATTTTGCGGTACTCGTGTTCTAAATATATCAAATAACGGTCCTCAACGTCTGAGCATCAAAGCACTTCCTTGAAACAAGGCTTTTTTACTCGTTAGTTTTTAAAAAAAGTCAGTCAAACGATTCGATTCGGTTGATGTATAGTTCACAGATTAGTGATCCCGATATCGCATCTTCATTCGCGACAGAACCGAGTCAGGATGTTCATTTTTGAAGAGAAAATTTTAAAATGTTTATAATTCAAACTTAAACGCTCACTAAAAACACTTATGACATTTCAGATAAGACGTAGAAGTGAAAATTTGTAAGATGAAAATTGGTTTTGTCGTGGACTCCGCCTCGAGCAAATATATCAAGTTCCGAATGCTGTGAATTTTAGATAACGAATACTGTGATTTATATTTCAACACGTTTTCAAATTATTTCTCATTTTTAATGCTTTTCTTAGATTACTGTAGTCGGATTATTTTGGGCTACTATAGAAATACAACTGGGTATCCTCGCCAAGGGTGGATCTAGGATTTTCTCGAGGGGAGGGGGGGCAATTTTTCAAAACATTTTCGAAAATTTTGTCGACCTTTTTTCTAGGTTGAACAAATTGATTTTCGGAGCGCTCTCAAAGCTTCAAAAAGACCCCGTTTTGGCTAAATTTTCTGCGCCGCAAACAAATTTTGAAAAAAAACAAGCCAAAAAATGCCTTTATGGGCATTTTTTTGAAAATTTGGACTAAAAATCGCGTTTTATCGGCGCGCACCTCCCCCGTAAAATTACTAAATAATGGCTTCGAAGGTGAACTCAAAATTACTAAATAATGGCTTCGAAGGTTTTTTTGGTTATTTGATTTCGTGTAATCAACCAAATATAGGCAGTTTTATATTATGCATAAAAAGCAAACGAGTGACTTATATTCCACATTGGTGACATTAAAATACAAAAAAGGGAAAATCATTTCTGCTCTTTTCAGTATTTTGTGATGATAGCTGCTGTGGGAAGGCGGCTGTAAGGCGCACAACTGTCTGCAGCTGTCATGGCCTTGTGATTGTGATTGTGAGTGTGTTGTGTGTTTCAGCCATGTGTCCCCTGGTGTCGCCAGCTGAAGCCCTGGCCGTGGGTGGGGTGGGGGCGCTGATTGTGATTGGGGCGATGCAGGTGGTCAAGTGGTGTCACATAGATGACCCTGTGGGTGCCAGTGCAGTGCATGGCTGTGGAGGACTGTGGAGTCTAATTGCGGTCGGACTGTTCTGTGCCAGTGATCCGACAGAGGAGCAACTCGTGCAGACAGATGGTGCGTACGTTTAACCTTTCGTTTCCTCATTTTCTTGCCTCTTGTCAAAAACTTTCCTCTTTCAGCTCCTCCATTCCTTAATGTAAACCAATCAGTTGTCTAGGATGAAGTTTTGAAAGTTGACCCAACGGTGTATCAATAATCGACCCACAAAAAATTGTTTCAGGATTCACCCCATTCTTAAGATCATTTGATTTCTTCACAAGTGAAAGTACCATTAAATCCAGGGTCAAAGTAATTTCTTTGGAGGGGAATAGTACACCTTTTCCACCCTGGCAAACCATCGAAGCTCCTCTGTTAAAATTTTTGATTGAACAACCCAAAAACTTATCTATAGGCGCTCTTGATGTCAATAAACACTAAAATTGAGGGTAACAAAAACGCCCTTTTTGGTCATATCTTTTCAAATAAAGACCTACATTTTCATTCATGTCAGTATTTCAACCAAAAACGTTTGTGAACGGAAAATGTCGGCAAAATTGGGTTTTTATAGCGTTTCGGGAGAGCTCAGAAAATTAATTTCTGAACAAGAAAACTACGTCGACGAACACCTCTTCCCCTGATTAATGAGAACATTCTAGACTATCCCAGCCCCTTTTATATCAGCTGTTCGGTGGCTTATAGTCAACCGATTTTAAATGGCCCTAATTAAGACTGAATTTTCATTGATAATTTTTCTGGACTGTAAGATTATGACTCCAACTTGATCTATAATGAAAAAACTTGAGCTTACCAACTGTCCATGTCATGTTGAAAATTAAATGAAAACTATTTCATTGCTTTTGACCCTTACTTTCTTCCCATAAAAATGTGCTGAGAAAACTTTGGCAAAATGGGTTTTTATTGCATTTTGGTAGAGCTCGGAAAAAAATTCTAATTAAGAAAGTTACGTCGACAAACATTTCCTACCTTGATAATCGAGAATATTCAAGATTATTCCAGCCCCTGATTATAACAGCTGTTCGATGAGTTACAGACAACTGATTTTAAATGGCCCTAATATGAGAGTTGATTTTTCATTGATAAGTTTTCTCGACTGTGAGATTATGACTCCAAGTCGATCAAACCAAACTGAACTAACTTAAACGGACAATTTCGATGTCATGTTGAGGTTTATTCAAGGTCGATTTCTTTGCTAGTTACCCCTACTTGTTTCCGGTAATTAAATTGTGAATAGAAAACTTGGGTAAAATTTAATTTTTTTATAGCACTTTCGAGAGAGCTCAGAAAATCATTTTTAAAACAGAAGAGTACGTCGACAAACACCTCGCCCTGTTTATCAAGAATAATCTAGGTTTTATCAGCCACAGTTACAACAACTGTTTGGTGATTTACAGTCAACCGATTTTAATTGGCCCTTATTAAGACTTCAAATTTGTCTGGACTCTGAGAGTCGATCAAATTAAACTAAAAATACCTTAGCTGACCAAATTTCGATGTCAGTTTGAAAAAAAACGAGATCAAATTTAAGGCTTTTGACCCTTATTTTCTTCCCTTAAGTAAACTGTGGAGAAAAAATTTTGGTAAAATGGGTTTTTATAGCGTTATGTGAGAGCTCAGAAAAAAGTTTTCAAACAAGTAAATTAAATGGATCGACAATTTTTCCCTTGATAATCGAGAAGTTTCTGGGTTACAGCAGCCCCTGTTATAACAGTTGTGCGGTGGTTTAAAGTCAACCGATTTTAAATGGCCCTAACTAAGATTTTATTTTTCATTAATAACTTTTCTGCACTGTGATTTTATGACTCCAACTCGATCCAATCAAATTGAACAAGTTTAAACTGACTATTTTTTAATGTCACGTTGAGATATGAACACTTTCAATTTCCTTGCTTGTTACCTTTATTCTCTTCTCGTAATTAACCTGGGAACAAAAAAAATTGGGCTAAATTGAGTTTAGCAATTTTGGGAGAGCTCAGAAAATCATATTCTAAACCAGAAAATTACGTCGACGAACACCTCCTCCCCTGATTATTGAGAACATTCCACCTTATACCAGCCACTTTTATATCAGCTGTTTGGTGGCTTATAGTTAACCGATTTTAAATGGCCCTAATTAAAACTTGAATTTTCATTGATAATTTTTCTGGACTGTAAGATTATGACTCCAACTTGATCTAAAACGAAAAAACATGAGCTTACCAACTGTCCATGTCATGTTGAAAATTAAATGAAAACTATTTCATTGCTTTTGACCCTTACTTTCTTCCCATAAAAATGTGCTGAGAAAACTTTGGCAAAATGGGTTTTTATTGCATTTTGGGAGAGCTCAGAAAAAAATTCTAATTAAGAAAGTTACGTCGACAAACATTTCCTACCTTGATAATCGAGAATATTCAAGATTATTCCAGCTCCTGATTATAACAGCTGTTCGATGAGTTACAGACAACTGATTTTAAATGGCCCTAATATGAGAGTTGATTTTTCATTGATAAGTTTTCTCGACTGTGAGATTATGACTCCAAGTCGATCAAACCAAACTGAACTAACTTAAACGGACAATTTCGATGTCATGTTGAGGTTTATTCAAGGTCGGTTTCTTTGCTAGTTACCCCTACTTGTTTCTGGTAATTAAGTTGTGAATAGAAAACTTGGGTAAAATTTAATTTTTTATAGCACTTTCGAGAGAGCTCAGAAAATCATTTTTAAAACAGAAAAGTACGTCGACAAACACCTCTCCCTGTTTATCAAGAATAATCTAGATTTTATCAGCCACAGTTACAACAGCTGTTTTGTAACTTACAGTCAACCGATTTTTAATGGCTTTTATTATGACTTCAATTTTTTCAAACTTTGGTGATTTACAGTCAACCGATATTTGATGGCCCTTATCAAACTAAACTGAAAAAACATTAGCTGACCAATTTTCGATATCACGTTGAAAAAAAAACGAGTTCAATTTTATGGCTTTTGACCCTTTTTCCTTCCCGTAAATAAACTGTGGAGTGAAAACTTTGGTAAAACGGGTTTTTATAGCGTTTTTTGAGAGCTCAGAAAAAAATTTACAAACATTTATGCATTACGTCGATCAAGGTTTCCTCCCTTGATAATCGAGAAGTTTCTGGGTTATACCAGCCCCTGTAATAACAGTTGTGTGGTGATTTACAGTCACCCGATTTTAAATGGCCCCAACCAAGATTTTATTTTTCATTAACAACTTTTCTGCACTGTGATTTTATAACTCCAACTCGATCCAATCAAACTGAACAAGTTCAAACTGATCAACTTTTGATGTCACCTTGAGATACGAACTCGTCCAGTTTCATTGCTTGTTGCTTTTACTCTCTTCTCGTAATTAACCTGTGAACAAAAATTTTGGCCGAAATTGAGTTTAGCGTTTTCGGAGAGCTCAGAAAATCATATTCTAAACAAAAAAATTAAGTCGACAAACACCTCATCATTTACAAACAAAAAAATTAAGTCGACAAACACCTCATCATTTACAAACAAAAAAATTAAGTCGACAAACACTTCATCATTCACAAACACCTCATCGAAATTAATCTACATTATACTAACCCGTTTCTTTAACAGCTGATCGGTGATTTACAGTCATTCGAAATTATTTTTTATTGATAAATCTTCTGGGCTGTGAGATTATGATTCTAACTCGATCAAACCAATTTGAAAAACTTTAAACTGACCTATTTTTGATGTCATGTTGAGACTGAACGTGTTCAAATTCCTTGCTTGTTACTTTTCTTCCTTTGCGTGAACAGAATGTGATCAGAAAACGTTGGCAGAATTGTTTTTATAGCGTTTTGGAAGAGCTCGATAATTCACACTCTACTGACTTCAAATGGCGCTAATCAAAACTTGAGCTTACATCAAAAACTTTTCAGGACAGTGAGTTTATAAAGCTCCATTTTGATGAATGCGTCCTCCTCCAAATCCTCCTGACGCTGTTTTGAAGCTCCATTTTTTTTAACAATAGTTTTGTTTCTGACTCGACAGGGCCGAACCTAATTTTGCTGCCTTTTTTAATTTTTTAGGTATTTTTTGAACTTCTTTTCCAAAAAAATCGACCTCCTTCTCTTTTTCTGTTCACTATTTAACGCATTAGTCTTGTTGTATTGCATGTGTTGAGAGACTCCGTTTCTTTTCCGTGTTCTTAACTTGAATTATTTCTTGTTATTGGTTCAAAAACCTGATAAAAAAACCGATTCTTGTTACTGGTTCAATTTTCTTGTTATTTTAAAAGCTGCGCTCAGGTCGCCGTCTTTTTATCTTCTAACAATGTGTCTGGCTTTCCCATTCAATTAGCACTTTTAATTGAAAATTAAAGGAAACCGAACAGTGATTGGAAGACGCCATACTTTTTGCCTATAAAAAATTGATTGAATTGTGCTCATGAATCACTTGAACAAAGCATTCGTCGTGTTCATTTTGGCATTTTTGGCATACATGAATTGAAAAGAAATGAAAGTAACGCAGCCTTGATTCTAACAAATACAAATTTTGACGTACAGTCATGCAAATTCAGAGAAAGCTAATAGAAATTCCGATTGCTTTCATTCGCCCGCAATCCACATTTTCAACGACTTGCAACTTACCTCTAGCCATTCTGAAAAAAAAGGTAGATTTGGGTTTTGGCGAGGTTTTTTTTTAAACGAATCAAGATTTTTTATCAACGACGACTTTTTCAATTTCTACTAATTCCACGAAGCACGAATTCTTTGTGGTTTTTGTACTAACTTACTTGCTTTCCAAAGCATAGTTTTTTGTTTGAAGGTTGTTTTCATAATTGAAATTCTTTTGTAGCTTGTAAACTTACCAAAAATGAATTCGAAAAAAAAATTAAAATTAATTTTTGCTTCTTTTTCAAATTGACCTCGTCTTATTTTACACTAACGAGTCAATTTTTTTTCTGGGAATTTTGAATTTTTTTCTGATGTTTTTTTATTGTTTCATTAAGAGTAAGTGACAAAAACTGTAACTCAGCAGTTTATTCGACCAAAAATGGATTTCATAAATTAATACTAAAAGGGGGACCCTTTGGTTGGTTAGGCGGACGAATCCCTGAGGGAATGGGGGCGTCCACCCCAACAAAAATTGCCCGCCTTTGCTTTAAAGCTCAAAATATTTTATGCCAGCAGTTTTGTTTTCGGCTTAACAGAGATCAACCAACTTTGCTGCCTTAGTTGCTCTTTTCAAATTATTTTTTGAACTTCTTTTGACACTTCAACAGAAAGGCTTTGACACTTCAACAGGGCCTTACGAACAGCGTAAGTTGATCTTCTCTTCTCTCTCCCAAATGAAATTATAACTTTGTCTGTAGTTCCTGAAAAAAATACAAGTTCGAGAATGATATTATCTGTTCTGTCGTTGTTTCTCAGGCTTGCTGCACAATGGAGGCTTCTTCCTCCTTGGAGTGCAATGTCTCTACGCCGTCTGCTGCATCGTGTGGACCATTGTGATGACAACTTTGATCATGCTCCCACTCAAATACACAATGGGGCTGCGGGCCTCCTTCCCCACTGAGGTATTCGGGGCGGATCTGGTGGAACATGCCATCCACGGCTCCTTCGACCACAACAAGGGCGACATTTTTGACATAGATGGCAACAAATTCGCCACTATTCCCAAAAACGCCACGTTCGATCAGCTTGAAAGTATACACTGCCGTTTTCTGCTGCATAACATGACATGTAGTTTGCGGAAGAAAAGCCGGTGCGCCAACACGCAAGATCTACTCATGCAAATAGAGGCGATGCAACCGGAACACCTCATGCAGAGTGGACTCAACGGAGCATCCACCGATCGAATGGTGGTGGGGCCAGGAAGCACAGTTTCCAATGGAGTTGACAAGGCGCTGAGACGACTGCAGGGAAATTACCCGAGCTCAGAGCACATTGAAGGATCCTCTCATCAGAGCTTGAGCCTGGTTATTTCTGGACAGAATTCCCCGACAGTCCAGATCAGGAATTTAAACAACGTGGCTAATTTAGATGCGGAAGAGGAAATGGTGGTTGCAACCAAGTTTTGAGACGGGAGACTCACTGTTCAAAATAGTTGAAACGTGTAAATTTAGCTGAATCTTTTATATTTGTATGACTTTTTGTTTTATAGGTATCTCCCTTTTCTTTTCACCAACATAGTACGGAATCAAATACTCTAATTGATTACAATGGGCCAATTAGCCAAGGTTACTTAGCGGGCATACATTCCACCTTTAGAACAAAAACTTCTTCGATAGATAGTTTTCATAGCTGAAGTTGATATCGATGCTTTTGGACAAATCTGACTGACCTCATATTCGATGTACACATACTAACTTTGTCGAAAATGCGCTTTATATATTAATTTAGAAACTTGTAATCCCAATTTTCAAAGATAAAAAGTCAAAATTGAAAAAAGAAGCATTAACAAATATAACTGCCCGCACTAACAAACTCGAGATTGAAATCGATTTTTATACAGATAATATATAGTACAAAATTTAATTTACAATAGCCCATTTAACTACGGAAATTGATTCACAGAGGATTAATTAGATTTTTACTGAAAAAAAAATTATGACAGAAATGGATTTAAATGGATTTTCGCAAGGTAGTGAAAACCAAGAATATCTCAACAATTGATTTAACTTAACTATTCATTTTCTTTCGGAACTTGAGCAAAATTTTGTGCTCCATCTTAAAGTCTGTATCAGAGCTACAGAGAGTAATAGTTACTCAAGGAGAATTTTTACCGCAAACTATTGCGTTAAAGGGATTCCCTCTCGAATTGTGTAAAACTAAAGGTTCCCGAGGTAATGAGAAATAAAACCATGCCAAGTATTTTTAAAAAACATTTTTGTTGTCAAGGTTCTAGGCGCAATTTCTAATATTATTAAACAACTCAAATTAGAATTATTCATTGTAATGCAAAAAATTTAGATGTTTAGAGTTATACTCAGAGTTAGAGTTCAAAAAAGTTAGAGTTATCTTCATAGTTCAATTTTGAGCCAAACATGAAAACAAAAAGTCAATTAAAAAGCTTACTTGAGTTTTTTTCGCATTTTTTCTCTATTGTTTGATAGTTTAGAAAATCTGAATATATTCTGTATATAATTTGTATAAAATGAGTATACAAAAAAGTTGTTAAAAATCTATTTAAATTGATTTTATTGTTTCTAAAATCCGTAGGCAAATGAAATCAAAAAAGTAGACAAAAAAGATTTAAATCGATTGAGAATGGGTTGAAATTGACTTTTAAACTTCATTTTTGGATCAAACTAAATCGATTTTGAGTCAATTCTGCTACATTATCTGTATAAAATTGAATGCAAGCCTTTTTTGTCCGTACAGGATGGTTAATTACTGAAAAAACAACATTATCGCTTGTATCAAGTCGAAGTACTGAATGATTTCGCTTCCCTTCAACGAACTTTCCTAGATTTCTCAACAAAGCACACGGATTTCTCAACAAAGCAACAACAATTTTTCGCAAAATCCGTAACAAGGGGCCTTTTTTCAAAATTTTTTTACGCTTGTGGAATCCAGCAACAAATGGTAAAACATAGAGCATCTCCATATGCTAAGCTCATTTTCTTGATCTTTTTGCTCATTGCGGTGCGGATTTTGCGACACAATTTTTGAGCTGACCTTATTTACGCTATAAGGTATTTGCTAATGGAACCAAAACCAAGTTGGTTGGTGTACTGGAATACTGAAGCATGGTAAGGAATGTCTCTAGCTTTCACCTGTTATACAATACTTGAAAGTAATATGGTGTTTTCAGCCCAAAAATGCGTCCATATCAATTAGATTTGTTTGTCCGTAGAGTAACTGGAACTTGATCTAAACTACATTTTATTATTGGATAAATTAGATATTTTACCACTGTAAAATATTTAATATTAACCAATCATAATCCATCCAACTAACAACCCACTTATTTGTAAGTGCTGAAAATACTTGTATTTTCAGCACCAGAGAGATTTGAATTTAACTTAGAAATTAGTTGCTTCTCCAAGAGAACTTCAGCAGCCGCAATAAGCCAGTATGATCTAGATCTATTGAGCCTAGCAGAGACTAGTTAAACACCCTGAGACTAGTAGATATAAGAGTAAGATTAGGATCGGTATTAGACTAAGAAGTTGCACGAATCTATCCGGCCGAAAATAAGATAGCGTGACGAGCAGACGGTGTACCCTATCCGAAATTACTCTATGAGTTAACCAAAAGGATCTAACTCATCTGGTGCGACAATAAGTCTCGAATAAGACTTTAATAGCTTAGAATTAACCAAATATAGATTAGAAATTAGACAAAACATTTTCAAAATGTTACACGATAATAACTTAACTGAAATGTCTCTACGACTCAATAGATCAGAGCCAATATTCCGCACAATACTGGAACTACCCGGTATTGGAAGAAGACCTTGAACAGGAGACGACATACGACTACATAGAAACTTACCATTTAGTTTCATGGTTGTACGGCAAAAGCCAACACAAACTTTTTTATTTCGAATCTTATTAGCAATGAATTTAGATTTTCATTTGCAAACATAAAATTTTGAAGAAAATCTTCATGATTATTTCAGGCGCTAAACAAAATTACTAATGTACAATAACGATTGAAAAAAAGAGCTCAGATCGTTTTCTCAACTTCTGCAGTATTATATAAAACATAGTTATTTGAAAAATATTTATTAAATATAAAAATAAAAATTAGTAGCATGACAATAAATTGTTAGTATATATAAATCATCCTGTTGTTCCAGCTTCATCACCTAAACATAACAGCAATCATAAGCTAACTAACATCATATCAAACTAAAACTTTATATCAAATAAATTTAAACCATTTTAAACTTAAATTTTCTTAATTTTAAACCAGATCATCAAGGCTTATCCTTGGATCTTAATAAATTTTCTATTTCATTAAGTTTTAATTCTGATCATCCAGGCTTATCCTTGGATAAAAAAAAACACTTTTGTTCTCCCCCACTCACTTATTAAGTGTCTAACGACCTCAAACGTCGATTCACTACCCAACCTTTTCAACAAACCCAGGACTAATGGAAATTTTCAATAACACTAACCATTCAAATTAGGCTAAACAGTGAAGAACTTCGGTTATTCATCCTTCACTTGAACCCTCCTTTTACCAGACCCAGGATAGATCTTAGACTTAGTAAATTTAAAATAGTATCTAACGAACTACTTGCGTTCTAATTTTACCTGAACCTTGTGGATCGATTTACTATTCTCCAACCCTTGAACACAATCACTACCCCTAAGTAAGATTAAGTATGTTAACACTTTAACTTAGACTAGCCACAAGAAAGTAAAAAATCATTCTCCGGAATCGATATACTTTTCTCTCCAACCCTGAACAAAAAGACCCAGGTTAAGCTAACCAAAAAATCGTGAGGACTAACAGTCTAGAAAAATAAAAATCACTAATAACTTCTAGCATCCCTCATCCTAAACCTTATGTCATTCAAAAATTTAGGAAATAAACAAACAATCGTTTTACACAATTGTGAAATAGAAACTCAAAAATATGATCTTGTAATAACCCCACATACAGAAACAGTTGGATACATTCGAACAAAACGACAAACAATAAAAAGAAAAATTATAAGCAAACAAAGACAAATCACACGAAAAAGATTTTCAAAAAAAAAGAAACGCATTTTCCGAATCAGAAACCAACAATTTAGACGAACTATACAAATTAAAGGAATCAATAAATAAAAATTGCCCCATCCATGATCAATTATTTTTTTTCCGACTCAGAAACAACTTCAAACTCATCAAAAAGATGAAAAAGAAGAATAAAAAAGCAATATAAACACAAACCAGTACACCTATATAATTGGAATCAACCAATTAGACATATTGATAGTTATATATTAACAGTCATCAAACGAAAACATGAGCCACACTCAAAGTGACGAAAGTCCAGATGAAGAAGCAGTTTTTCCCTTTCTTATAGATTCACTCCATGATAGAGGACAAACACAATTTTGTAAGAACTTACTCATAAACTTGTTTGAACCAGGAATCAGTCCATGCAAAGCAGAATTCCCGGATGTAAAAATCAAAAGACAAATTATAGAAAATTATCTAAAAGACATATGTAACCTAAAACAACAATATGGAATCTACACCATAGAATTCAGCACACCACAAACAGCTCATAACAAATATGTAATTCAAACAGACGATATAGATTTAGAATTTTCGAAAGTATTCATAGAATACATCAAAAGCATACAATATCATAAATCACAAAGAGCAAACTCAATATTCACTAACAAAATTATTTTGCAAAAATATATAGTTATATATCTATATTAGAAAAAACAGAAGTTCAAAGCACATCACCAACAGAAACATCCAAAAATACAAAAGTAAGAAACGAAATCACAATATTGTCAACATTTTTACATATAATCCGCAAAAATTTCACCAATAATGATGTCTCACAAAACACTAAACATGATTTTCAAAAAATTTTAGCATGGTTTATAATAGATTATTTTACCCACAACCTAGATTTAATTTCACAAGCAAGAAAAAATTTCCGACCTCAAAGTACCAATGACAATAAGATTACGTTTGGGACCCTAAATGTTCTCATCCAGCATTTATAAATATTCCACAAGATATCTTTAGTAAAGCGATAAGTGCAATAGCTTTTCACAGAGATTATATAAAAGTAATACCATTAACGATTGACAAACGATTGAAAAAACAGTAACAACTACACAACAAAGTATTTCACCAATACGTCCAAATCTCACAACACCAAAGAATACAAATACATTCCTACCACAGGTAACCTTACAGTCAACCGTTAAACCTTCGGTTGCTCCAAAATACTCACATATGGACTATCAGACATATAGACCAATGACAAAATCGTCAAAAACACGAAAAACGTTCACAAAAAACACTTTTACAGAACACAATTATAATTATGCACACCAACAAAAAACAAATCAACCCCCCCCAAAAAATACACAAAAATTAAATCACGTATGTTCCCATTATTGGAATCTCCCAAATACATCAACCAATTCAGTAAATTTCCCAGATAATCCACACCCTCCACAGGATTATAGTGAAAATTATCCAGTTTTTCAACAAAATAAGAATAAACAACAGAAACCTTATAACACAAATAACTTATCATCTGATGATGATGATTACTAGAGAATATCGCACACAAAGACCGCGACAATCTCTTCTATCCCAAAATATGAAAATTTTCCCACAAAATTCAACAGATACACAAAATCCACAACAAATGCATATACAAAACCAATTTAACACACAACCTTTTCAACCGATACAGCCACAAAACCCTGCATACT